ATTCAGATAACAAGGTCATATAACAACCCATCTACATAAACGGTGTGAGATTCAGATAACAAGGTCATATAACAACCCATCTACATAAACGGTGTGGGGTTCTGACAACAACGGAATATAATTATTAATCTACATATCAGCTGTGTGGTTCCGACAACAAAAGAATATAACAGCCAATCTAAATATCCGGTGTGGCGTTCCGATAACAAAAGAATATAACAGCCAATCTAAATATCCGGTGTGGCGTTCCGACAGCAAAAGAATATAACAACCCAGTCACAAATTCGGTTTTGGGTTCCTACAACAATATAATACAATAGTTTCCCCAGTGGCACAGCGGTATGTCTGCTAATTTACAACGCTAAAAACCAGGTTGCTATAACCGTTGTGGGCAGAGCCCATTGTGTAGATTTCTGCTTAACTTCAAACAAACAAAAGAATATAATAACTAAATTCAAGTTACCTATATTTGAGATATTGCAAATATATACATAAGTGACAAGAAAAGTGTTAAATGTAAATATTAGAAAACACGAGTATCAAACTGAAAATAGTTTACAGCGGAAAACAAGACAGTGTGGATAAAATAAATACTAAGCTTGGAGAGGAAAAAAAATATGATATTAAATTCAGAAGAAACAGAAAGCAGTGAATTCAAATCAGATCAAAAGCTCGACAATATTGTATATGAGTCCTTTAAAACTCATTATTAAGAAGTTTAATGTATACAAAACTGAAGTGTTCAAAAACTGCTACCAAGCCCCGTAATTTGAAAAGTAAAATTAACATGAAGAAAAATCTACATTGAAATGTAAGAAATGAAAACAAATAGTTTACCCTGGGATGAGAAATGAAAAACGCATTTAGCTTCCCTCTATCATAGTTATCCAATGGCCACAAATTGCTTAGCAAACTTCTAACTGTATTGACCCTAAGAGCACAGACAAGTCTAGAAATGTCTTCCTAAGACAGAAATTTATGTCAATCTGATGTGTGCAGAACAATATTGGCTTCACTAAAACAAAAACTAATACTCGTTTGTCAAAAGAATAATAGAAGTAGTTACAGTTGCCACAGTATTTTGAAGAAAGTCCCAAGTTTATCACGGCCTTACCTAGAACAAAGGTATTAACGTATTAAACTGTATCCAACCCACATAACGAAAAATATATAACATGTGATTATGTGGATACTCATATAAACAGCCAGAAGGCTTTTAAAAACACAAACGTAGTAATAAATTTTACATTAATATTTCAGACTCAGACGAATAGGAAAATGAAGTCAATTGTTAAAAGCTGAAATAAAACATGACCGATTACTCGGAAAGTAATAAGTCATATTTTATTTTTCCTTTAAACAATGAATAAAACTCTCCAGATTGCACTAAAAGCTTTAAACTCGGATAGTGAACTAAGCTGTGTTGATGGGAGATCTGGAATAGCACATCTCCCCATATAATATCATACCTAGAAGGACCGGCTTAAAAACCTAAATTGAAAAAAAGAAATACGTTTAAACATACCACAGACAACATAATCGAGTTTGTGAAGAGGTCTGCTGTTAGTCTTAGCTAGTTATCTTCTCTAGTGTCCTCACTCTCTCGCAATTATCAGCTCTAATGGTTTACACAGTTTCTAGGGAAGGCTGACTTGCAGGCTTTCAGCAGCAACTGGCTTCTAGAATTTCGAACAGGAAATGCAGTCTGATGATTGATCAATTAGAAACATATATATAGTGTCTTGAGAAAATATATGTTATCGTGTATATCCACAACCAAAACACAAAAGGTAAAGAAAAAAAATATTTCTCAGTTATTGTATTTAGTGAATCACAGATTGCATTTTTTTTTACTTTAAGTTGGTAATATCATATTTCCAAATCCATATGTTTCTTATTTTGGCTTTGAGCTTCAGTATATTGATTAGATATGAAAGAATATTCATACTTAGTCTCAGACTTAAAGCAAGATTAATTTATTGGATAAGTGAATCGACCGCGTTCAAACCAGTCATGCTGAGATATTTGTACTCCAATGACAAATTATTTTGAACCATCTTACTGAGTAACTTTTGTACAAGGTCCGTTGTTATATCAATTCATAGGATGTGAAGTTGGTAAGTACTAATTATAATGCTAATATTCTGAGTTAAGAAAGTGTTCAGATAAGAGGCTGTACTACACCCTAGTTGGGAAAGTGTTCAGATAAGAGGCTGTACTACACCCTAGTTGGGAAAGTGTTCAGATAAGAGGCTGTACTACACCCTAGTTGGAAAGTGTTCAGATAAGAGGCTGTACTACACCCTAGTTGGAAAGTGTTCAGATAAGAGGCTGTACTACACCCTAGTTGGTAAAGTGTTCAGATAAGAGGCTGTACTACACCTTAATTGGAAAAATGTATGCTTTCTTGTTTCGTCAGAAACTTGTCAGATCTGACAAGATCTTAATACTAGGCCATGTGATGAAATGGTTCTTTATTCTTAAACTAATAATGTATATATATACTTCAAAAAACAATAAAAGCCAAATATACTGCATTTATTTGCATCTGTTCTAAAATTTAAAGTATCCCACTGTTGTCATTGGTTGACTACAGTGGTTATAGTTTGACTCTTTAATAATTAGACTAAATTAATAGTGGTTACTCATAATACTATTATTAATTAGATCATAGAAGATGTCCGAACAAACTTTTGAAGTGGAACCTGTTTAGTAGAGAAAACAGTACATCTGTTCTTCACATCCTGTATTTTTAAGCCGTGATTAAAAATTATTCTCAGATCAACTGATCACCTGATCTCTTACTCTTATTCTTGATACTGTATGGGAAGTCTAGTACACTGTCACCATCCTCAGAGAATCTATTACTGCTACTTTTCTTTCCTTCAGTTTCTCATTAATAAATTTTATGTATTTGCCTTAGATTCCATATGGGTACTCTAACATTGTTTTGTTTTGTATGCCTAAGTCCCAGGCCTGGCATTGCCTGGTGGTTATGATGTTAGCTTCACAATCTACGAGTAGTGGGTTCGAATCCCCACTTGAAAACTATAATTTATGAATTCTTCAACGCCCTGTCTTGGTTTAATACATAAACCAAAAAAGTTATTTAGGTATCTCATTAAAGCAAAATTGGTATATTTTAGTTTTGTAGGATTGTTCGGAATTACTGTTTCTCCAGGATATAATTGAATGTCTTCCCAAAAATCAAACTAGGATTAGTATCTACATGATTTAAATGAATAAAAACTCTATAACCTAAAAAAAATCTCCATGCCAAATTTGATGAAGTTCCATCTGCAGAGGGCGAAGTAGTAGCAAAAAAAATGCGAAAATGCCCATAAAAACCGCAAAACTGAAAATTTGTATGTATTTACGCATGGGCCCAACAAATCTTCATGCCAAATTTGGTGAAGATCAATCCACAGAAGGTGAAGTAGTGGTAAAAGACGCCCATAAAAACCCCAAAACGTAAAATACAAGACTGAAAATTTGTATGGACCTAATGAACCTTCATACCAATTTTGGTGAAGATTCGTCCACACCCTACAAAGTAGTTACATGGGCATCATCAGACAGTACTGTAATATTTATATAGATTCCTTCTCTGAAGCCCCCAGTGGCAAAGCGGTATGTCTGTGGACTTACAACGCTAGAAACCGGGTTTCGATACCCGTGGTGCGCAGAGCACATTGTGTAGCTTTGTGCTTAATTACAAACAAACAAAACCTTCTCTAAAAACAACGATAATTCCGTAAATACATTTAAACAAAGTGTCTCTCAATATCGTTTCAGATCTTGCTGAATAAAGTTAATGCTCTTAATGTAATTAGATCATCAATACTGACTTGATTTATAAGAAACAACTCCACTGTCAGTTCCAACTTTTAGCTCTAATGTACAAAGGAATACATAAAGATATCTATGAAACCATTAGATAGTTAGCCTCTGACTTATCGCTTCAGTTTTTCTCCCTAAATGATTGTTTTTTATTACGATAAAAAATACAATAATGAAAACCCTATTTACATTTTCTTAGTCGCCAATCAATGTTTAATATGAAGAAAAATTCATGTATATGCCAATTAGCCGCTCCATGTGGCGACCCGTATTACTAAAAATAACGAGAGTTGTATGTATAAAATCAAATGTATCAAAGCATTGTTGAAAATGCAAGATGAGATGTTACTAAGGTTATAAAAATATTACAAGAACACAGAAAGAGAAAAACAGGGAAAGAAAAAAACGAGAAATATTTTAATGATACCATAATTCTATCTATACAAAAAAATGTTACAGAATATATAGAAGCAGAAGCATAATAAAACAGAAAATTAAACCATTTTTTGTCAGACTGTGGTCTGCCGAACTTACATATTTCTGATTATTATTTTAATTTTCTTTTGAGGCCATCATATTTCGTGTGCGAAAAGGACCATTCGTGGAAGAGTTTTACCAGTGCGTCACCTACGGATCCTACACCGCTGACTGGCAGGAGAAGGCTTACACTATCTCAACGCTGTTGATCATGTTCGTGATCCCCTTGATGGCTTTAATTGGTCTTTACATAGGAACGTTCTGCACTATATCCAGTAAGTAAAAGACTGACGACAATACTGTTTCTCTCATTAAAACGAAATATTACGATGTATGATCTGTAAAACAAATAATTTTAGGTACTGCCAAGTTGTACATTACTTTAATTAGATATTGTTATTTTTTTAGGTGTGTGTTATCTAAATAACTAAACTCCCATAAAGCCACGGATGGAAGGCTAAAAAAATATTGTTCTTTTGAGGCATTTGGAATATATTTGAAAGGATTCCTTGCAGTTTTAAGCGTTTGGAGACGTGAGGGAAGAGGGGGATAGTATCCGTTACATAGATAAGCGTAAAATACTGGAAAATGGGGGTCGTTGAATAAGATCTTAATAGTTTAATCACTTCACTGGGGTTGCTCACGTACCTTTAACTAAAATAAATAATTCACCAGTTATAATTTACATTATACCTAGTAATAAATGATTATTTGAAAAAAAATATGTTATGTATTTCTATGTAAGTATGCGTGTTTGGGTTTATATATATATATGTGTGTATAATTTATATATGTAGGTGAACGTAATAATAATTTTGGGCACGAACATACTACGTATAACAAAAGTATAGCAACTTCTGTAAAAACTTGTTTTTATTGGAAATTGTATGAGTAGTAGTGTTTTTGTTGTAACGTGTTTAATGTCACCTTCCTATGTCATATCGTTTGTGAGACATGACGTGCTGAACTGCGACAATTTCTCTCTAATCATCCCAAACTTCTTATCAGGCCATCCTGGTATTTTTCTAAACAGAACAGCTAGAAAAAATTTGTTCTACAGGATTTTTTATGTCATGGTCCAGTTGACCATTGATATATAAAATAAATATTCTTCCCAGTTGTCATAAATTTCCACTGAAATGGTAATTTGAATACAATAAGAAGTCAAGGAAGATCAACCATAGCTTTACTCTCATAACTAGTATTTTTTTCTTGGTGTATTACATACAATAAGAAGTCAAGGAAGATCAACCATAGCTTTACTCTCATAACTAGTATTTTTTTCTTGGTGTATTACATACAATAAGAAGTCAAGGAAGATCAACCATAGCTTTACTCTCATAACTCTTATTGTATTACTTACATCAGTCACTGAACTAAACAATTACATATTAAACTACATTAGTCAAAAAATATAATACGCAATAGCTTATGTTTCTTTCAAAATTAATATATATATATATATTTATTACCAGTTTGTAATCATTGCCTTTCGTGTCACAGGTAGCGAATCTACTATGTTCATGGGTATTCATAGTAATATCATGGTAACGGTATTCTTACTAAAGGTGTCTTTTTAAGACATGTATGATGCAGTATCTCTTCTTGTCTCACCTAAAAAATATTTGTCAGTAAGACTTTAGTGCTTCACAATGTCCATTTATCATGTTGTTATCCAGTAAGACTTTAGTGCTTCACAGTGTCCATTTATCATGTTGTTATCCAGTAAGACTTTAGTGCTTCACAATGTCCATTTATCATGTTGTTATCCAGTAAGACTTTAGTGCTTCACAGTGTCCATTTATCATGTTGTTATCCAGTAAGACTTTAGTGCTTCACAGTGTCCATTTATCATGTTGTTATCCAGTAAGGCTTTAGTGCTTTACAATGTCCATTTATCATGTTGTTATCCAGTAAGACTTTAGTGCTTCACAATGTCCATTTATCATGTTGTTATCCAGTAAGGCTTTAGTGCTTTACAATGTCCATTTATCATGTTGTTATCCAGTATTTCAAAAATATTTCTGTCTTTTGATAAATGTGTATCAACATCCATCTCTCCTAGACATATTAAATTGATAACTTTTAGTCCATGATCCGCCAGCTCGACATTTCTGATTTTAATCTACCATACGTTTTGTCCCCAGTGTCTCAGTGATAAGTTTGACAATGCTAAAAACCGGGCTCCAATCCCCATGATGGTCACAATACAGATAGCTTATTATATAGCTTTGTGCTTTACAACAAACAAAGAAATAAAAGCATACATTTTATATTTTTACTATTGCCTGCTACTTCTAGTTTGCTGTCAATTATTTTAGTATTCCTTCCTAAGTCCATATCAGAATCCAGTTCTCACTCAATAATCACTAGAGCTACGTTATGGCAAATATACATTTTAATCAGTGTAAAAAGGCATATGGCAAAGAGCATTTTCTCTAGTTCTTTATCTAAAATAACATCATTGTGTCTTGTATGATATTTTTCATTTTTAAATGCAGAATATATTTTATTCGTGTATTTTCAGGAAAAGAAGCTATATTCACAGAAACTGGTGCTGGTTCTGTGATGGATAACGTTCGCAGCAACGTTATACGTAAGGCCAAGATGAAGGCTTTACAAATAACAGTTGTCATTGTTTTGACATTCATCGTCTTCTGGATTCCCTACTACATGATGATGGTGATCTTAATCTTCATTAAACCAGATGAAGTATTGAGCAATGAACTAAAAGTGGGGATTTTCTTTTTTGGCAGTTCCACAGCCATGGTGAATCCTTTGATCTACGGATTTTTTCACCTTCGAAAACGATCACTAAATTCCCATCAAATCAGCAACAGTGCTGGGTCCTTTCGGTTGTCGAATATTATGACAATTTCAATAAAAAACAAGAGTCAGAATCGATTTGAAGTAAGAGAGAAGTAAGACATCCGTGACTATTGTGTTAAAGTCACTTAATGACTTATCCAAACTTATGTGTTTGGATAAGTCATTAAGTGACTTTAACACAATATTTATGTGTTTGGATAAGTCATTAAGTGACTTGAACACAATATTTATGAGTTTGGATAAGTCATTAAGTGACTTTAACACAATATTTATGTATGATTTTTAGGTATCTTAGTAAAACGGTTGGGTAATTATAACAGTCACGCCTGCGAATCCCACATTTGCTGTATATCCTGAAATAACTATTAAGTATGTGCACATTATCTTATTACATTAACGATAACAGTATTTAATATGTTTAATTTCATACATTAGTTTATACTATGTACTGTACTGGAGGCTGATGTAGCATAGTAAATAACGTGCCAGATTACGAATTGGAAGATCCAAGGTTTAAGCCCGCGATATGCCATTAAGCAAGCTACGCATTTTCAGCTGTGATAGCGTTAGAAGAGTGATAGTCACTTACGTCCTTCAGTTAGGAGTAGCCGTATATGCGGCGAGTGCTTCTGACTGGTCTTCTTCTCTCTAGTCAAGAATTATAAATTAGGAACTACTGTGCCCAAACCTTGGAGTCTCCGACTTGGTCGTTTAGCCGTTGTGTCGTATTGGGTTGAAAATGCCGAATTCTACCTTAGAATTATGTTCTTATTTACAGTCAGTGGAAATAATTCTGAAGTTATTTAAAATATTTTTTGACATATTTTATCCTTAATTAAGTAGTGCACGGTATGAATTGTGTTATATTATGTATCATAAGAAAAACTGGCTCAAATACATCAAATATCTGTTATTTAAGAAATCAAAAACGTCACCTTGTTAAATCAGTTGTTCAGTAAGTTATTTGTTCTGCGATTAATCTATTTTTAGAGTAATTATAGTATTTTGGCACTTGCGTATAAAGTTAAAATCATAAATAATATTCAACGTTAAACTGGTACACAATTAAAAACATCGAAACATGTAGAGTCGTCAACTTTTTGAAGGCCATGGATAGGCCTAAATAAAATGTTTTTAATTG